ATATAAAGGTGTTTTAAACCCTTTCCTACATCATACTTCGTGGTTTTTCACTTATTGGGGGCTTCAGGGTACGGATCCCCCACGATAAACGAGGGACTAATGTAAACTTCTTGTTTCTGGGTTATTATTGCAGCAATGTTGCACCAGCACATACAGGCCTAACATAGTTAGTGCAGAATTTTGCTTTTGTGTTTTCTTGTGAATAAAAACATTAGTAGAAATGGTGTCAAGCTTACTAGTTGCTTTTTTTGTTTGTTTGTTTTAGAATAAAAGATTGTTTTAGAAAAAAATGTATTTCCATGTGGACATGGCCCAAATTTTTCAGTCAGGTTTCATAAGTTTCAGCTTGGTGGTCTGTGATAATTCCTGCTAACAATCAACAAGCTTACTTGTCTTCTCTTCAGTCCCTTATGAGGCCTCTTGTTTTCCTACTGAGACGTTGTTGCACATTGATTGTTTAAGGAGGGGGAAAATGTTCGTCAGCCTAATGGGGTTTCTTAATGATTTGGGAGTCTGAGCACCTGGCATGCTTGTTTACAAGCTGTTGATGTGACTGAATTGTTTCCACAAAATTTATCTGCAAATATGTTATTGGAGCAGTGTTGAAAAGATACGGTCAAGATATTGAGCTACAGTTTGGTGTACTAGTAGCTGAGGGTCGTTCTCGACATGTACTTCAAGTTCTAACAGATCATCTGGTCTTCATTATAATTTTGGCATGCAACTCAATGCATTCCGTCAAGGAATGCTAGTGATATATATTTTAAGTATGAATTCACCTTTGTTGGTTTATTGAATAGATGTCATGCTTTGTTATATCTTGCTTTGTTTTGTTGTATTTTTTGATTAGTAGCTATGTTTTTTTGCAGAAACTCCTGTTTGAATTTTCATATCTTTGCCAACTTTGCTTCCTGTTTTATTCTGTACATTTTCTCTCATCGCACACCTGTTTTCAGTACGATTACCACACCTGTTATCTATTTTTAAATTGTTTATTTATTTTTTTATTTTTTGTTCACCGCCATTCTTAATGTTTTCTTTTGTTCCCTTGAGTCTGCTTTCTGTTTGCTCTCATATCCAGAAACATAAGTTAGGCTGTTTTACTTAAAAAGGAAGCTATATATTTAAAAAAAACTGCAGAGGTCCGATGAGCAGAAAGTTTGTGGAAACATGATTTGTGTTCAGATTAGTCTACTTTTAGGGTTGTGTGTGGGTGGGGTGGGGTGGGGTGGTGTTGGGGGTTTCAGACTCATCCAGGCTATTATCAGTGACAGCTGCAAAAACCAATGTCTGTGACTGAATACGAAGCATCATTGACCGTGACACAAGAAAATAAATGGCTGAGCAGCTGAAATCTAGTTTTCAGCTAGAATAGCTTTTTACAAAACTCCAATAATAAGTGTCCTTAGTTCCAAAATGTTTAAAAAGTGTAATTAAAAGTAATGGTGATACAGCACAATGGTAAAAATCCCTTTCTAGTATCTTGTTAGCATTCCTCAAGAATCAAATTTTCTTACAAAATGAGAAGTTTATCATTTGATAGATAGCCAAGTCCAAAAAGTCTTTCTAGTAAATAAATTGTTGTTAGTGTTTCTTTCTTGGTTGGATTTTACATTTATCTTATCTCTGTACTCTGAGATTTATATGGGGCCTTTAAAGAAGTTATCTATTGTGTTTTCTGTGGTCTGTTAATGATGTGAATGTTGAAAAATATACAGTCCAATTTAACGTAATTAGATCAGTCAAACCCTGGTTTTAATCTTTTCAAGTAAGTCCATTACAGGACAAGGCAAGAAAAAAACAGAACTTTGTGTTGCAAGTTTACAGCATGAGATTACAAATCCCATCTGTAGCGAGAACAACTCCAACATGAGCCCTGAGTAACTGTTCTGAAGTTCACTTATATAAAAGATGGGACGGATTATGGAATGAACAGAGACTGGAAAATAAAAACAATATGCCGCCAGAAACTGTTTGTGCCTTCAAAGGCGATTCTCAACATGTTTTGCATGCATTAATCTTTCTGAGGTAATGAAAATGACTTTTATTTTTATTTCTGCTGCAGAAGTTGGTGATTATGCAACTGATCAAATTTCTGCCTGAAAATGTATTCCCAATTCATAATGGCCTGTTGATTATCATGCATGCACATTACTAGAAAGCTTTTCTTAGATTTTGTCATTTTGAAACAGGAGAATAAAGTATATTTTCATACATAACTTTGGAACAGTACTTTCTTATGGTAATGGCATCATTGCTAACATTTTCCTGGACCCCTATAGAACACCTTCAGTAAAAATGGAAGTTTGAACTTTGAAATATTCTTTCAGTCACTACCCAACGTTTGTGGCCATAGGTGAGGGTAGGAACGTTGACCGACAGGTAAACAGAGAGCTTTGCCTTACAGCTCAGCTCCCACGTCACCACAATGGACCGAGACAGAGTCCACAATACTGCAGATGCTGCACCAATCTGTCTGTCAATCTCAAGCTCCATTCTTCCCTCACTCGTGAACAAAACCCTGAGATACTTGAACTCCTCCACTTGAGGCAGAACATCACCCTCGACCTGAAGAGAGCAATCCACCTTTATCCAACTGAGGACCATGGCCTCAGATTTGGAGGTGCTGATTCTCATCTCAGTCGCTTAACACTCGGCTATGAATTGCTCCATTGAGAGCTGGAGATCACAGCATGATGACGCCAACAAGCCCACATCATCCGCAAATAGCAGAGAAGGAATCCTGAGGCCACCAAACCAGAATCCCTCTACCCCCTGGCTGCACCGAGAAATTCTGTCCATAAAAGTTATGAACAGAATCGGTGACAACGGGCAGCCCTGGTGGAGTCCAACTCCCACCCTGAAGGGGTCCGACTTACTCCCGGCAATGCGAACCAAACTTTCGCACCGCTTGTAGGGACTGAACAGCCCATAACAATGGGCCCCCAATCCCATACTCACGGAGCACCACACACAGCGTACCTTGAGGAACACAGTTGAATGCCTTCTCCAAGTCCACAAAACACATTTAGACTGGATGGGCAAGTTCCCATGACCCCTCCAGGACCCTAGTGAGGGTAAAGAGCTAGTCCAGTGTTCCACGACCAAGACAGAACCCGGATTGTTCCTCCTGGATCTGAGGTTTGACCAATAATCTGACTTGCTTCTCTAGTACTCCTGAATAGACCTTACCAAGGAGGCTAAGGAGAGTTGTGCCCCTGTAATTGAAGAGG